TTTTGTAAGTAGTGAAATTAGAAACTTTATTATTTAATTCCAAATAACGCAAATTAATCTCATATATATATATTTTTTTTAATGAAAGGTAAAATCATATACAGAACTTTTGGTCGCACGCGCTCTCTTGGGAGTTTTCGAAGCAGGTCTGCTTCCTGGAATAGTTTATTATATAACTATATGGTATAAAAGATATGAACAAGGTTTTAGAATGGGAATAATTATGTCCTCAATATCAATTGGTGGTATTTTTAGTGGATTATTAGCTTATGCAATTGCAAGCCTTACAGATGAAACTTCACCTTTAAAAGGATGGCAATTAGTATGTCGATTTCTTATATAGTATCAAAAGCAATTATAATGTTTGCATTGTTAATATTTATATTGTCTAATGTGATAATGTTATTCATTCCATTTATGTAACAGATTTTTATAATTGAAGGTTTAGGTTCCATTATAGTTGCTATTATTGCATATTTTTATATTGCTGATTATCCAGAAGAAGCCAAATGGCTTAACGAAGAAGAGCAGTTATTGGCAGTTTTAAGGTTAAAACATGATGATGGTGATGAGTATCATAAAAAAGCTCGAGAACACTTATTTGATAGGGTTTATGTACTAGAGTGTTTGAAGGATTGGGTATGATAGATTATTTTTATTTTATGTTATTTAAAATGATTTTGTCATCACTTTTTTTTCATTATAGTTAATTTTTCATTTAGAAAGTGTACATATCGATGCTCATTTTATTAGAAGTTTCTATCACAACTTATTCATTTCTATATTTTGTTCCTTCAATAGTCAATGGAATTGGTTTTAATAAAGGCAAGCATGAAAAAAAATAATAAAGCATAAAATTTTACATAATTTCCTAATCTCTATTACAATCTTTATTATTACATATTACACTTTAAAGTTATATCTCAATTATTGATGGCACCTATATTTTTGCTTGGCTTTATCTCACAAGTAGCAGTACCAGCTTTATCTGATAGTATGAATCTTCGTGGTCCTTTTTTCATGTTATTTGCCTCAATTGGAGCCTTGGGATACATAATTATGTTGTATACTGCAAATATGAAGGCTATGATTGGTTAATATTTCAAATTTTTGTATATTCTTGTATATTAGTGTTGTTATTATCAT